TATTTATTCTGCTGAATGTATTAGCAAAATTAAAATGTAGCCAGGACACCTACAGGGTAGGCTGCCCCTTCTAATCCTGCTTTCTGAGGGGAAGAGAAAAAAAAAGAGAACTCTAATTCCTATTTTTGACAGTCCATCACCTTTTCCGAGTCCTGAAGACACAGCAAGCAAAATAGTTAGCCAGTAGGACTTTAATGCAGGCACTGCAGTAACTCAATAAAACAAACATGGTATTGCTGAGTGGTAGCATTTTGCTACACTAAGAGACAGATGGGGAGGATATGCAATAATCTTGTCTAGGAAACGGCTATGATTCATAAATTTGGACTCAATGTGACAAATTATCTGACAGATTTCAAAACAGTGAGAAAGCTGATGTCAGATTGAGATATCACATCTCTCTGTGAAGACCAGCAGCAGCTGGAATTATTGACCACCTAAATACACTGAACTCCTACGCTACTGCTGAACAAAAGTGTCAAAACCACTATGTAGAGCAGAAGTGTGAAAACAAATGACACTGTTTAAGGAGGGAGCTGATCTGATTTAAACCCTGATGATGTTTTTCTTAATTTGAACTACCTTGCTCACAATCCCAGTTTAGGGGCCCAGTAATGCTCACTAGTGTATCTAAGATATATATATATATCTCTATAGATCTATCAGTATTGACCTTAGGAAGTTGTAAGGACTTCTCATACACAGTACAAATAACATTTCCTTTTTTTTTGTTTTTTTTTTTTTTTGAAATTGTAAGAGCATCAACTAATTGCAAAGGTGAAGCTTATGAGTGATGAGCACAGGCAATGAAAATTCTTTGGCTGATGGTCCAGCTTTGTGAAAAATACTTCCACAGGGCACCAGAGGGACTGCAACTCATACTGCTTCCAGAATACAGCATCACCTCTACAGCACTTCTCCAACTCTTTGGGTTTTTTCCAAATAAGAACAAGGAAGGAGAAGGAAGATAATGATTTCTTAGTAGTACACATAAACAGATATAGATAAATCATAGCATCACTTCTCAGGGAAACAAACCCACTTTGGAACAGACACCTGTCCTGGACAACTGCCACCTGGAAGGGCCAGTAATTAACCTAGCACCTCCTCTGCCTTCTCCAGGTGGATTCCCACACAGCTAGTAAATCTCAGACAAAACCCCTCATTTTGTTCAACTTAATCATCGCAGTATCATCTGAGCTACCCAGAAATAATTTTAACGAGCAACTTCCAGTCCTTGCAAATGATTCACCCTTCCTTTGGCCTTGTTAGTTACAGAAACTCGACTGTTCTCTTTCAGACACTTAAATGCAGCTTTTCAGACAAAATGACAGCTAAACACCTCCAAGGGAACCTCCAAGCACCCTGAGCACCAAGGCAGCCTGCTCACACCACTCCCCTACAAGGTACAACAGTTGTCTCAGGGAGCTACTTCTGGCTTTCCAGACACCACAAGATGGGCATCATCAAGTCCTCCCATTTCCTTCTCTCACCCACCCAACTTCCCACAACCCATTCTCCCCACGGGCTGGCTCTCAGGACTTCTTCACCCAGCTTCAGGAGCACAGTTCTTGCATTCTGCCTGCTCAAAGTAATCTTGTCCAGAAAAAAGGCTGTCAAGGACATAAACCACATCCACAGATGCCAACTGAACACTATTATCGCTTACATCCAGTCATCAAGTCCTGCTATCCCCTGCAAAATCTGAAAGCCAGGGCTAAGCCTGGGAAACCAAATGAATCAAAGGGATGCCCAAAGGCATGGTTACATATTTTGATGCCAGGCTCAAAGGGCAATAGTTCATCTGAATCCTACTGGCCCATATAGCTCTACATAATCCTTCCAGACTATAAATTAAAGCATCTTTTGTCCTTTTATTAATTTCAATGGAATGCAAAGACACTGTGCATTGTGTCTTCCTTCCACTCCCCAGAGTCTGTTAATAATAAGCCATATCTCTCACAGCACCTATGTGGGAGAATGGTGTCCACAGTGTGGTTTCCATGCCCAAGCAGAACACACTGGAAGTATGGAAAAGGATATGTATCTGAAACTCTCCCTGAAGGCAGGTGATCATATTTTAATATGAAATGAGCTGCCAACAAAGCCCTAGTAGCTGCACTCAGCTGTGGCAAGCAACTCCTCTGAGACTTCACTGGAATTTTAACTGAGGGTTAGTGTTATCAGGAAGTCTGTGAACATCCGAGCCACTGGAAAAAAAAAAAAAAAAAATTATATGCTTATTCTTCAGAATGGAAGAATTCAGTCTGCTAAAATTTGTGGGAGGAAAAAAAAAAAGGTCGATTTCAAAAGAAAAAAAAAGATACATTTTTATTCATAACTGATTAGCAGCTTAGCTGCTCCTGCAGCTCCCCTTCTTTACACTTCAGGCAAAAATTGTTTTAGCGATGTTAGATTGCCTATTTCCAGCATTGTTCCATGCCACATTAAAGACCTCATTCATTTCCCATTAGCACATTTTAGTTAAAATTAACACATAATCAATTTCAATGATCTGGCTTTCAATATACAGCTGCGTCAAAGAAGGAGTTAGTCTCCGAACACATCCAACTGGGAAACACTTCAGGTCATTCTTCAGCCTAAATGCTCAGGAGCTATTTGCCCAGGGCAGTGCCAATGTTACACTGTGGAGCAGAAGTTTTGGGCTATTAAGTGTCCAAAGAGACACAGTATTTTCCAGAAAATTACAGAGATCACATTAGTTCTGATACATGTACAGAGTTTCTCAGAGTTCGTTTTGACCTTTCCTTTTTGGTGCTGATTATTAGATGACTCCAAAGGCTCTCTCTTATGAGGAATATACCTAAGGAATTAAAATATGAAGTGACTTTAATAAATTCTGAAGTGCTGGTATGCAAGATTGCATACAACTGACCAGATAATTTTTATGTTGGTGGAAAATTGCAAATAAAAACTATTAAGTTACTGACTACTAAAGTTATCTAGAGAATTAATATGAAGTGACTTTAATCAATTATGAGGTACTGATATGCAAGACTGCATACAACTGACCATATAATTTGTATGTTGGTGGAAAACTGCAAATAAAAACTACTAAGTTACTGACAGACAAACAATTCCATGGCTCTGTTTCACTGAAAAAAAACCAACCAAACTATAAAACATATATAACGTCCTAACATGCCTTGTCAATTTAATATTCTGGTAGTCTTACACTACTGCACATAAAAGATGAAGAAAAGCTACATATGATCAAAAGAGGCTCAGATAGCTTTAAATATAGAGAACTACGGGCTCCTGCAAGGAGAAATATTACGTTAAAAGAGACTGTGCTTCCTCAAAAAGCAAGCAGCTGGAGAGCTTTAAATCCCAAGCACCACATTTGACAGAAGTGCCGTAAAGTATCATATCACACACTGCTCCACCCAAAGCCCTGCTTTTTGTGTTTGCCAATACAGTCACGATGCCAGACTTTGCAAAACTCTGTTCTGTGTCACCCAGCATGATACATGCTGTCTTCTATATGGATGAGTAATGAGTATCAGCATGAATTTCTATGTACAATTTCAGCCACTGTACCTACTTTTCTGTCTCTGCAGGACCGGGACTAAACATTACATAAAAAACATCTCTTTCAGAAAGTCCTAAATTTAACTTGTGTTCAGCTGAGGAGGTAGAGCATAGAGGAGTATGCAAGCATTCAAGATCCAGACCAAAGCAACACTTCTAGTTCAAAATCCTGCTTTCCTCTCAAGTCATGTCATAGTTAGTATTGAGCACACCCATAACTTTAAGTTAGTTTTCCAAGTTTAGAAAACTGCAATTGTTATAATAAACCAACAAATTTAGAAAACGAAAGATACTTGGTTATAGTATCCCAGGATCTTCAGTCTATTATCTAGCAGCACTTGGATTACTTGGTGTTTAAAGTCCACAAGCAGAACTGAGCTATACTGGAGACTGCGCTGAGCAAAAGCCAGGCCCTATCCAAAACAGTGGGACAGAGATTAAAAACACCAGAGTTAAAAGTAGAGAGTAACAACAAATGAAACTTCTATGAACTAATTGGAGGGAGGAGAAGGGAGGGAGGGAAAAGTTTCCAAAACAAGCATGAGAGAATTCCTTTCCACACATCAGACAGGAAAACCTGAAGTATTTTCAGATGTTACCTTAGCACACTGTGCCACTCTATGACCTTCTTCAACATAGCATCTATTCCACTATCTTATATAGATAATTTAACTCGGTATATATTGTGCATTCTGAACTCTGCACTTTTCAGGCAGCACTAAATGTATTTGCAGGGCATTCAGCCTATGAATCTTTCCTGGAAATATGCTTAAAATACAGGAAAACATTACTTTTGTAAACTGTGACGTCACCTCCCTTTTCAGTAAGTGCCTTCCACAGCCTACATCAGCACATCCTTTCCATAGCACACATTACATCGCTTGTGGATGCTTTCGAGTGCAGCTACTCAAAAGTTCATGTAGAAGTCATTTCCTTACTACACCCCACAGACAAAAAGCACACGCATAGCAAGGAGCATATTTACAGGCAGCTGTGTACAACGGAACACAGCAACGGCTGTTCATTAACATTTTCTGGAAGTAAACTCTTCATTGTCAGTGAAGTTCCCCGCTGGCGGCAACTCTGTGCTGGCCACATGTGAGGAGACCGGGGGACGCACAAGGTTTTCCCCTTTTCCCCCGCCTGCTCCCTTTACTTCCCCGCGCAGGTTTCCCAGGAAGTTTCGGGCCCCTCCCGGGGAGGCGGTCCCCCGCGCGGCATAGTGCCTTCGGAGACGCGGCGGGGTCCCCCTCGACGGGGCGGAATACTCCGCGCCCGGGGCCACCACCGGTACCGCGGGGACCCGGAAACCCCCGAGTCCAGTCCCGGCGACCGCTGTCCCGAGGAGGGACCCCGAGGGGACCGGCGGCCACAGCTCGCAGCCCCTCCTTCGGCCGCGCTCCCCTTCCCCGCGGCGAGGGGCCCAGGCCCCCCGGCCGGCTCCTCACCTCCAGACCTGCCCGAGCTGCAGGATGTGGACGAGCGACTGCAGGAGCCAGATGCAGAAGGCGCAGGACGCCGACCTGCCGCTGCCGGCTCGGGGACCGGCGGCTCCGCTGCCGGCGGCGTTGCTGCTGCTGTTGGTACTGCTGTTGGTGGCGTTGCTCTTGCTGGCGGTGGACGCCTGCCGCTGCGGCGTGCAGGGCCGGGCGGCGTCGATGTCCGCGGCCGCCGAGCTGCTGCTCACCAGCAGCTTGCTCTCGGCGGCAGGGCAGTGCCCGGGGGCGGTGGCGGCGCTGTCCTCGGTGCTGAAGTCGTGAGCGAACCAGCGGAAGCTGAAGACCTGCACGGAGAGGGACCCCAGCAGCACGAAGAAGAGGGTGAGCCCGAACCACCAGCGCTGGCCCCGCAGGTAGTAGTCGACCGCCAGCCAGATGTCAGTGCCCACGTCCGCGAAGTACACGGCCAGAGCGGCCAGGATCCAGAGGCAGTCCCACAGCGAGTAGCGCCGCTGCTCCCTGCCCAGCCGCAGGCACAAGGAGGACGAGCCCCCGCCCGAGCCCCGGGAGCCCCCGCCGCCACCCCCACCGCCGTCTCCACCTCTGCCGCCGCAGCAGCAGCAGCAGCAGCAGCGGGAGCCGCCGCCCGAGCCGTCCCCGCCGCTGCCGCTGCAGCACCCGCCCCCGGGCGCCTCGTCGTCGTCGCTGCCGCCTCCCGGCCCGGCGCCGGAGGGCAGCCCCGGGGCCAGAGCCTGCACGGAACCCGAGTGCTCGGAGTTCTGCAGCGGCGTGAACGCCACCTCGCCGCCCTTCTTCATCTTCCGCCGCCCGTCCGACTTCGCGGCCATGATGCTTCCCTCAGCCCCGCCGGAGAGCAAGCGGGAGCAGTGAGCGCTCCTTTATCCCGCGCCTCCCCCTGCTCCTCCTCCTTCGCCTCCTGCCTCCCGCCCTCCGCCGCGGACCCGCCGCTCTCCGCGTCCCCTGTCCACGCTTCGCGCCGGGCTGCGCGCCTGCGGGCGGCTCCTTCGCGGCGGCCGCTCCCGCAGCGCCGCCTGCCTGCGGGGAGCTGCGCTCAGCCCTCCCGCCCCGCCGCCGCCTCCGCGGGGGCCGGCGGTGCCGGGGCCGCCGCCGCGCTCTGCCCGAACCGGGAGCAGGCAGGGCAACGCTGCCCGGAGCAGCGCATCCCGCCTCCCTCCGCCTCCCCGCCCGCCTCCTCCCGCACCCACCGCCGCCACCACCCAGCTGACTGACGCCGGGAAAGAGGATGACCTCATCCCTCTTCCCTCGCTGCCACCGCCCCCCGCCCGGCACCGGCACCGGCACTGGCGCAGGGGCGGGGAAGGGGGCGCTCGGCCCCAGGGCGGGAAGGACCCGGTGCGGCCCGGTGTCGGTGGGGGGAGGCGGTGGTGCGGCGGCCCGGCCTAGAGAGGTGGGCGCGGCGGCGACAGGGCAGCGACGGCTTCGCGGGGCGAGGGAGCGGGTCGGCGGGGAGAGGCGGGGTGCGGCCGGCGCCCCCCGGGGCCGGCGCCGCGGGAGGGGCGCGGCGCTGCCGCCTCCCGGTGTCCTCGACGCGGTTTGGGGTGAGTCTGCCCGGACCGGACCGGAGTGGAGAGGCGGGACGCGAGGGGATGCGGACGGGGCGGCGAGGAGGGCGGTGGTCCCCTTTCACGGCCACCCGCCCTCGGGCTTCTCTCTGGGAGAGGGGACCCTCGGCTCGAGGGAGCCGCCGCAGCCCCGCCGCGCTGACAGGACCGGTAGCGGTGGTGATGCTTAGCCGTAACGCCCCGCCCGGAGGCAGGACCCGCTCAGGGCGGGCGGCCGCTGCCGCGCTGTCCCGCAGGAAACGCTGCTGTAGTTCCCTCAACTTTGTGAAACGCGACTGCGAGGTGGAATTCAGGAGTTGCGCCGTGACTCACTGTCTTAAGAGGCGTTCGGGGGAAAGTGAGGAGACACCCGGGGAAATCGCGGTTTAGGCATAAAAGTCACTAGGCGAACTCACGATGCCTTTCACCGCCCCCCACCCCTTTCTCCGCCGCTCCGGCTGCTCCCGAATCGCGGCCGCCCCTTTGAGCTCATCATCCCGGTATTTCAGCAGCGGAGGTGGCCCCGCCTGCCGCTTCCAACTTCGGCGGCGAGCGGCAGTGGCTGGAGGAAGCCGTCCAGGGCGGAGCGGTCCCGGCGAGGATCCCGGAGCATTCCCCGCTGCCCTCGGAGCCCGGCAGGGGACGCAGGTGTACGGTGGCTACCCGGGCCCTGAAGGCCCCCAGCCTTCTACCCACGGGAGTTACCCGGTTCGCGATGCCCAGTGCCGGACACAGGGTTCGGCATGCGGATGGGGGGGCCATTTGCCCTTTGGCCCCTCTCTGTCCCCCTGCGTTTCCAAACGAACGGGATGAGTAGCCGTTTCACCCCTTTCAGGATTTTGGGGGAATGGTGTTTTTTTTTCGCCTCTGGAATATATTATAAGCATGCCCTTCCCCCCCCCCCCCCCCCCCCCCCCCCCCGAAATAGAGCAGTGAGATAGTTCAACCACCTTGCTCGAGTATCTTCATAAGAATGACAGTGAGATTACAATAGGGCAGTTTTACGTTATGTGCCTAAATATAGCTCCTTCATGTCATGTCAACTTCATTAATGAAGTCATATAGACAGCTGAAAAATATGCCTTCTAACTCTTCAATGTACATGGGAAGTATAAAGTTGCATTTTGGAAATTACCTTTTGCTGATGCATACCCCAGATTTCAAGAAAAGACTTCAGTGTGCATTACTGTATTATTCAGAGTGCTGAGCACACCAGACTCAAACTTTGGAAGGTGAAGAGTGCACATAAAACTAATTTGGTTTGTTATTTTGCCTGTTATTACACATTACAAGAGTCTTTAATTACATCATCACATAATGGTTCTTAAATAATACACATTTGCTCCGCAATCTCTGTTACAGTGGTATAGCTGTACTTTTATTTCTGTTCCTTTTGTAACCCCATATTAATTTCATTCTCATTACAATCCCTATGATTTTTACTGCCTTAGACTTTTAATACAAATTGCTTCTTTCTTAAGGTATCTTTTAATAATTCAGTCAGCACCTCTATATAATACAATATATATTAAAATTACCTTGTCAGCAGAGAAAGTGCTTAATAATGAAGGTAATTTAGCTGCAAGTTGGTGGGTTTATATATACCAACAACTTTCCAGTGTTACTCTATTTATAGTTCCATCCCTAATAAAATGGTTTAGTGGGCACTTTAAGTTACTTTAATTGAGTCTGTTTGACATATACAGGTCTAAAAGATACTACAAATAGTTACAGTGTCATGCATGAGTGGGGGTGAGGAAGCGACTAGAGCTGAAATGCTAACCTGAACTGTTTGAGCTGGGCACTCAAAGGTGTCAGGTTCCAGGTGAGAATAAAATGGAGGAGATGGAGGTCCAACATACTAAAAGGCAGAAGGTACCTCTGAGCAATGCAGTAGGTATTTAAGAACATTAATGTTGTCACTCGAGCTGTACATTGCCTTCAGAGGTCATGGTAGCCTGCTTAAGGCCACCCACTGCTAGCCAGCTTGGAGGAGGTAACTTCTGGGGCCATGTTTCCCTACACCCTTTCCTTCCTGCCCCAGGGGTGGGACAGATTTCCTGGTGCATTTACCCTCAGCCACTTCACTCAGGGGCAGAATTTGACCACAGGGATTGATCCGTTGCCCAGGAAGACTCCAGTTCACCACAGCAGGCTTTAGAGCATACCTGTAAATACACTGGGCACTTTTAAGATGAAGCTGGACAGTATGCTGGGTCATCTAGTCTAAGTCATGCTTTGCTAAAAAAGGTTGGGCTAGGTGATCCTTGAGGTCCCTTCCAACTGGTATTCAATGATCTGAAAGGTGTTCAGTTTACCAGACATTTTTGCTGTGAGGGGAAGAGTTTTACACTTTCTTCACTATATTCTTCTGTTTTGTCTCATTCTCTCCTTGCCTTGCCTCTCCTCTCCTCTTTCTCCTTTCTCATTTTTTTTTTCTTTTGCTTGGTTGTTTTGGTTTTCTCTTCTTGGATTCAGTTACTGTTGCATTTGTGAGGGCAATAATATCCTTTCACACTGATTATCATGTTAACAATAGTTGGCTGTTAAATGAAGGCAGTTCACTAGATGAACATTCAAACTTAAATTAAATTTAAAGTTACATGAGATTTCCAGGGCAATGTGTTCTGTTTTGGTTTCTCACTTAAAAGATAACAAATGGAAAGGATCCCAAATAATATGTAAGTGCTGAAGAAATTGCTTCCAAGAAAAAGAACCAAATTTCCTCTTTGTTAGACTGGCATAGCTTCTGTGGAGCTGTATTGGCGCCAGAAGAGTTTGGATACACAGAGTATACAAACCAGCCTGCATTCAACAAGCCAGTGTTGCTACTAGACCTCAGAAATTAGTAATTACAAAATATAATTGAAGGGCAAAAATGTGATTACAGACATCAATACATATTTTATAAACCAAGTACAGACACATTCATTTCTCATGTGAAGCTAATTTTTCTCTGAAGGAGATTTTATTCTTGGCTTCCTTTTTCTGTGCTTTTCTTTAAAGAAAACATTTTTATGAGTATCAGAAATACTGCTTTTGCTTTGTTCTGAATTGCACCTCCTGCTTCCCATTTCCCTCTTACAATATCATATCACCTTTGTCTACTTTAAGAATAACTTTTGTGTGTGTGTGCTTTTCTGGTTTTTCATTGTAGACTGCTATCAACTCAGACCTGAATGTCCAGGAAACATACTTCTGGGTTCCAAACCTCTTATTTTTAAAGTATTTTTTACTTCTTCAGGTTCCTGGCAATGATACTTTTCCCAGTCTTTAGCTAAATTGTATAGAGTGCCCTATCAAAATACACTCAAGCTCTTGCTTGTATTCTCTCATGTTGCCATTAGAACATCATTATATGCTACAGGTCTAATGATTTTTTTTGCGTGCATTTGTTCCAAATGATTCCCAAATCTATTTTCTTTTGTTTGGCAGTACTTTTGACTATTGCAGTTTGGTGCTTGATGTTTCTTTAATTTCTTCTAGCTCAGAGTACCAGAAGCGTTAGAATGAGCTCATTGTACCTGGATTTGACACCCTATGGCAGTATTTTGGCAGAAAAGACTGTCTTTCTCACTATAGTCAGTCCTTGGTGAACAGTTCTGCATGACGAATGAGCTGTGCAGAGACCTGCTGTCCTGGCAGGGCTGGCAATGGGCCAGTCTCCTGCTAAGCAGAGCTGCTGAGCACCCCCCCTTAGAAATAATTGAAGTCCTGAGCCATAAGGAGTCCTCTGGTGATTTCTTCCAGAAGATCTGGTGAATCTCTTTCCCTTCCTTCCTCCCTTCCCTCCCTCCCTCCCTCCCTCCCTCCCTTCCTTCCTCCCTCCCTCCCTTCCTTCCCTCCTTCCCTCCTTCCTCCCTCCCTTCCTCCCTCCCTCCCTTCCTTCCCTCCTTCCTTCCTTCCTCCCTTCCTTCCCTCCCTCCCTCCCTCCCTTCCATCCTTCTTCCTCCCTTCCTTCCTCCCTCCCTCCCTTCCTTCCCTCCTTCCTTCCTTCCTCCCTTCCTTCCTTCCCTCCCTCCCTTCCTTCCTTCCTCCCTTCCTTCCTTCCTCCCTCCCTCCCTCCCTTCCATCCTTCCTCCCTCCCTCCCTCCCTTCCTCCCTCCCTTCCTCCCTCCCTCCCTTCCTCCCTCCCTTCCTTCCCTCCTTCCTTCCTTCCTTCCCCCCTTCCCCCCTGCCTCCCTTCCTGTCTGCCTTCTTTTCTCTTTTCTTTTTTCTTTTCTTTTCTTTTCTTTTCTTTTCTTTTCTTTTCTTTTCTTTTCTTTTCTTTTCTTTTCTTTTCTTTTCTTTTCTTTTCTTTTCTTTTCTTTTCTTTTCTTTTCTTTTCTTTTCTTTTCTTTTCTTTTCTTTTCTTTTCTTTTCTTTTCTTTTCTTTTCTCTTTTCTTTTCTTTTCTTTTCTTTTCTTTTCTTTTCTTTTCTTTTCTTTTCTTTTCTTTTCTTTTCTTTTCTTTTCTTTTCTTTTCTTTTCTTTTCTTTTCTCTTTTCTTTTCCTTTTCTTTTTTCTTTTTTCTTTTTTTCTTTTTTCTTTTTTCTCTTTTCTTTTTTCTTTTTTTTTTCTTTTCTTTAACTGCCTTCCGATACACATTTTATTTCTCTCCCTAAGGCTTCCAAAGCCTTTTCCTGCAGTTCTTCTCTCTGTCTTGATGTGAAGATATAAAGCTGGGGTTACCTGATGGAAAATCTGATGAACATCTCTTTTCTCATTCACCCCGGTGTAGTCTCACCATTATGACTTCCATGCATCTAATTTTAACTAGTTTTCTATGATAAAGCAGTGCCCTAAGGTTCATGTGCGCATGAAATCAATTTCTTTAGAAGCAGCAAGTAAATTATTCTACAAAATGTTCACAAGTTTTAGATATTTTCATATCTCCATGTGTTATCCCATTTTTACCAGACAGACAGGAGCAGTCTCATGTTCACAAGCCCTGATCTTCACTGGGGACTTCAACCACCATGATATCTGTTGGAGGTGTAACACTTCAGGCCGTAAGCAACCCAGGAGGTTCCTTGAATGTGTCGATAGTAACTTCCTTCTCCAAGAGATAGAGGAGCCAGTGAGGATGGGGGCTATGCTGGCCCTTGTTCTAACCATCAAGGAGGGGCTGATGGGGAATGTGAAGATCAAGTGCAGCCTTGGCTGCAGTGCCCGTGACATGGTGGAGTTCTAGATTCTTAGGGCAATGAGGAGCAAGCTCACTACCCTGATCCTTTAGGAAGACAGACTTTGGCCTCTTCACGATAATGCCCTGGAGAGAAGAGAGGCCCAAGAAAGCTGATTAATGTTCAAGGATCACCTCCTCCAATCTGAGGAGTGTTGCATCCCATCAAAGAGGAAGTTTGTCAAAAATACTAGAAAGCCTGAGTGGATAAACAAGGAGCTTCTGGACAAACTCTAACACAAAAAGGAAGCCTACAGAGGGTGGAAGCAAGGACAGATAGGCTGGGAGGAATACAGAGAAATTGTCCAACATCCAGGGATCAGGTTAGGAAACCTAAAGCCCTGAAAGAGTTAAATCTGCTGATGTGGCTGTGTTCAAGGCCAGGTTGGATGGGGTTTGAGCAACCTTGTCTAGTGGAAGGTGTCTCTGCCCATGGCAGGGTTGGAACACGATGATCTCTAAGGTCCATTCCAACTCAAAGCATACTATGGTTATACTATGATTATCCTCCTCTAGCCACTGTCCTCTCACACAGATCTTCAAGGACAGGCTGCAGCAGTGAGAGGCAGCAGAAGGCAAACCCTTCTGTCCACTACAGAAGCCTTGCCTCTTCCAACTGGTTGAGTTACCTCACTACTCCTTCCAAGACTCCCATGGGTGCCAAATGCCTGGGTTTTTTGTTGACTCAGGCAGTCTCTTTTCCATCCTACATCTCTATTCCATGCAGAGGCATCAGTGGTATCAGCATCTGCCCAGGCTCTTCATAGGCAGGGCATGGTGCTGGGAGTTAAAAAGCAAGGCAGCACCCTTGCTGTGCAGCAACAGCAGAGTGCACACAAGGTAGCATCTCTGCAATGTCTCTGTCTTTGGCCAATAATTTTTGTCCAAAAATTGTCCCACTTGCAAGGGACAGAGATTAAGTGACTTCCACGCCAAACACAGCAGATATCACTGTACAGCATGTAGAAGAAGCAAGTCTGGAATTTGGCACTGGTCATAAGCTAAATATGCTAACTGGTGTGTCATCCGAGCAAGACCTGAGAAGGAGGTTCTTAGGATATTTCAGGTTTTCCTGTCAAAGTGTAAGCCCCTTGTAATATGTGCTTCAAGCACCCATCTTAAACAGGGGAAGTTCAGGTTGGATATGAGGAAGAAGTTCTTTACTGTGAGGGTGATGAAGCACTGGAATGGGTTGCCCAGGGAGGTTGTGAATGCTCCATCCCTGGCAGTGTTCAAGGCCGGGTTGGACGGAGCTTTGGGTGACATGGTTTAGTGTGAGGTGCCCTGCCCATGGCAGGGGGGTTGGAACTAGATGATCTTAAGGTCCTTTCCAACCCAAACCATTCTATGATTGTATGATTCTATGGTGCTCTTGAAATGAAGCCCTCTGCTGTGGTGGTTCTGTTAGTGAAAGGGTCAAGGTATTTGCACGGTTCTGAATCCAGAGAAGCGAACTGAAAACCTGATTTGTACACTGTATAGGTAGAGAAAATAATTTTCAAATATGGAAGGGAGCTGCAGAAGGAAGGTATTCACTGATAATAATGAAAAACAGATTAGGAAGGCATTATTTACACTTGATAAATCAGAAATGGCATCAAAGAGAGCTAGTATTACAAACTATTAATGAAAGACATAATAATGAAACAAATCACATAATAGATCACAACAAAGTGATTCAGTGTAATGAATACTGATGCTAAGTAAGTGAACTGTGTGCTCTGGGGATACAATTTCAAATCCATTCCAGTGTGTGTGGAAGATGTGTGAGCAGAAAGAGCGCTTTTAGGAGAAACTCACTGTTCCATTGCTCACCCTGATCACATCCACACCTTGTATTAGCTCTCCCTCTGATGACGTATAAGGTAAATAAAAATGAAATTACCTGCCAAGACCCATTATATATGTGTTTATTTTTGTGTGTGTCAAAGTAGCAACTGAAATATCATCATCTATGAAGATATCAGCAAACATTCCTCATTTCACAGAATAGTGTGAGTAAATAAACATTAAGCATATGAAAAAGACAGCCAGGCAATGTTTCATCAGCACAGATTAGAAACTCATTTAATTCCTATAATTGTAGAAAGGACATTGCTGTTACAGAACATGGTAGTGTCTTGAGAGTGAAATGGGACTAAAATTCAGATCTTCACACAGATTTTTATATTTTGGAGGTACTACAGAAGGAGCCTTTGATTAAACAGAGAGATGTCCTATGTAGCTTATACACAATATTAGTATTCTGGTCACACACATGAAACTTCAGGTGGTGTGCAAGTCGTGATTTGATTTCAGACTCATCTGTATCCTAAACCCTTCCTGAGTCAATTCTGGCAATTGTCAAAGCCTACCAAATCAAGCATTACTTTGTGCATTTGTAACTAAATATGTTTCTATTTATTGTGAATTTTCAAAAACAGTTTTGATTTTTTATTTTTTTTTTTGGTAAAGACATTCACAGATATAGCACTGCAAAGACAGTTAGATGGGTAAGAATGGGCACTGCAAAAACCATCCAGCTGAGCAGGGTGCTGCCTAAGCCTGCTAGTAAATTATTGCAGTGTTACTGGTAACAGCCTCTCTTAAGAGACCTTTTGGATCCAAAGGGTCTCAGCTGAGGTTCTGGCTCAGCTACAAGATTTTACAATCAAATGTCAGTGGGAGGCTTACTGACACAGGGTGAATGCCTGAATAACAAATCCTTTATTACTTTCTGTTATGGTCTTATAAAAAAAAAGGAAGCAATATATGGGAAGGATGAAGAGTTGTGGAAAAGGATTTTGAGAAAATCTAAAGTTTAATAAATGTTGAAATTGAAACAGATTCATCAAATTAATAAATATTGACAGATTTGACCCATGAGCTAAATTTAACTTACCCACAAATTGCTACTGAAGCAAAAATGTTTGAGTATGCTACTACACTTGCCTACCATTATGAATGCTCAGATCAAGTTCACAGAGCCATGTGCAGATTTAAATTTCTGTTTTCTAAATTTCAGTCATGCAAAGTTTTTGAGCATCTCTAATAGGATTGGAATGCAGTGTTCACATTAGACATGTTTAATTTACTGTGATGTTTTTAATACATTGTTTTGACATTCCTTCACAGCAATTATAATACCTTCAGAATTATAAAATACAAGTAAATCAGATCAGCATGAATTTGGGGAAACAACACACTCAGAATCAGAAATCAAGGAGCTGCGGATAAAGTTGCACTGTGGTGTGGCCGTCACTTTCATCCTCAGCAAGCCACCTTAAGGGAAAAACATAAAAAGCTGTCACAGACAGGGAACATATAAAACTTAACAAACAAATCATAAGAGCCTGCTTCTGCACCTTTGGATTTCTAGGAGACTTTTTACATTGGTTTATACAGAAGCAGTAACCAACCTGAAGAAAATGGTGGGTTTTTGTTGCTTTGGGGTTCTTTTAGTATCCATATATGCATAATTTAAAAATGAAATTAACTTTATAAATATATTTGTGAAATATTCATTTTAAAATTTGGTCATATAGGTGACAAGTAGATTGTTTCATTGAGCAGCATAAAATCAGGATAGAGGAAGGAAATCTGTTCTTTTATAGCAGGCTGTTGTCCATGTATTCCATTTCAGGGACTGTTTATTTCTCATATCAACTTGTGGGTTCACAAAATACTGAGTTGCATGGTGGGCCTAAACCCTGCTCTGTAAGAGCCTATGGAGATTTTACTGTTGATGGCAAATAGCCCCAGTTCAAAGTTCAGGTAGATCGATGTTAACTGGAACCTATTTTCCAAAACTGGAACCTAATTTCCAAAGAGAGTTAAAAAGCTTCTAATGCTTTTGCAAGTATTATGACTACTGGATGTGATGTCTACTGAGGAGTTAGTATGCGAGGGACTGAAAGCCAATGTAGTGTTAATGTAGCTCACATCTGAAGCTGCGCCACTGAATAACTGGAAGATATATGGCTGAAGCTAAACAGTTCCAGGATGAAACACAACTAATCTGGGCAGATAAAAATGAATATCTTTTAAAGATAGCATTTGTATGGGAAGAGTTTTTTCTTTGTGTCTTTGTGAGATGAATGAACCTATTCCACATTTACACAGTAGGCTATGAGATGATACTGGAACAGATTGCCCATAGAGGTGATAGATGTGCCACCCCTGGAGACATTTAAAGCCAGGCTGGATGTGGTTCTGAGCAACATGATCTAGTTGAAGATGTCCCTGTTCATTGCAGGGGGAGTTGGACTAGATGGACTTTGAAGGTCCCTTCCACCCCAAACTATTCTATGATTCTATAAGAAGCTCCATGTCTGAGCTGGAACAGGGATGTGAAACACAGTTTCCTGTATCCAAGGAGTGCCCCATAGCCTGTGGGTCACTGAGGTCCCTGGGGTGGATCTCCTAATCTCTTCTACTAAAACTGTTCCATTTTGAGCAAGTAGATATGCATTAAAGTAAGGATATGACTCTAACCCACCAAGGACTCAGTTAAATGTCCTAGCCAGCAGTCTGTAGAATCAATCTGTGTCAGTCACAATGATGTGATTCAAGTTCTTGCTCCAAATGGGTCTCTTAAATGCCTTTCTGTTTTTACCATAAGATTTTAAATTAAAATAATAAAAAAAAAAAAACAGAAAAAATGTTGCAAGCTATCTTTTTTAAGAATTTTTCTCTGACTGGTGTGGTCTTATAACTCTTATAAGCAAAAGAAGTGGAGTGAAGTGACATCAACTGAAACATCTATCTAGAAGATTAGATAGTACCTGAGCATGTGTTTGGAAGAAGTTTAATGAAGGGAAGTTTAATGATGTTGGAAGAAGTTTAATGTTGCTGAGGTTGGTAATGGCCTCATATTCTCATGACTTAGACTGCAGAGTGCAATTGACTATCCAAGAACTGAAAACAAATGTTCCTTTTTGGGTGCAGGGTTGGGATTTGGCTTCTATGAATTGTCAAGTTTACAGGAACATTTTGGGGAAGGATAAAATTAAATATTCTTGGCTACCATTTCTGCTTTCAGACCACTAGGTAACAGCCCTCTTTCTAGACATAGGGAACGTGTAAGTTTTCACGCTTGTCTGTTCTCCAAAATCTTTAAGCTGTCAACTGTATACTGTAGCAAACTGCCACTCGAAATGTACCTTTCAATTTAATTTCCAACTTCTGAAAATGTTTTGTTTCAGTTTGATGCAGAATGAAGTGGATCTTCTTTTTGTACATTAGAAGCCTTTTACCCCAGCACTCCTTTATCCAAGTAAATGTCTAAATTTAGATCATTACCCTCTTATATTACATTATAAAAATATTTCTTCTTTACCCTATTTGCTGAATATATCTTAGATCCATACTAAGCAGACACTGAAACAGAAGTATTTTAATATTGCTTTTGCTCAATAAAATATACTTCTTCTCCAGTTTTGTATCTATACTGCCATACCCTACCATCCTCCCACTACCACATACTGTGATTCCCTCCCATGCTTGTTTGCATACCCATGATATGCTTGTCAGAGCTATTTACACACTAATACTTGTGTAATGGTTCACCAGACAGCTTCTACCTCTTGGAAACGGAATGCTAATATCTTCTCTTGGCACAGGTACTAAATTGTGTCTCTCCCTCCTACAGTCCTCCAGTTATAATAACTTGGGAAAATATAGTGTCTTCCTCTGTTCTTGTGACAAATTAGTTTGAAGTTGGCCAAACAGTTCAAAAGTCACTGGGGATGGACTTGCTATGAACACAGCATGGTTAAAAAATTCTTATTGTTTTAGGAAACCAGAAGAGAAATAACTGAGAAACTAAAAAGACTACTACTAGTTCTACAGAGTGCTGAAGAACTGATCTACTGACCTGTTACAGTTGAAGCAGTACACTGAATTCCTAGATGCATCTGTTATTTCTACTTTTTCCAGAAACCATCCACTTGCTGTAGAAGGGGAAAAAAAGAGCAAATTTAATATAACCAAAACACAAATAAAGTATAAGTTTTCTGATTTCATTTCCAAATCCTGTGTGGTTCAATACTTCCGAATGTATTCAATATGAATAATAAAACTGAAAAGTAGATGATTCAAATTACTACCAACTTGTCTCAGTTTTACAGAGAAGGTCTTTGATTTTTTTGACAGAAGATATAAAGGAATATTTTTATTACAACTTAACTCATTTTTTCATATTGAACAAAACAGGCAGCAAGACAAATGAAACAGAGTGCATGGTGATATTGAATACATTCTTGAAATCCCATTTTGCTCTTTTAGGTGCTCTGAAATGCACTCAAAGTACACCCCTGATGGGCTTTGATCTTTGACATCCATCAAAACAATAAAAATAGGTAGACTTTATCAGTAGATGTAATTTCTTTAATGATAACCCAAGCCCTTAAATAATAGGAAAGCAGAAATTCTACTACTCCTTTTTAATAAATATATTTACACTTCTATAAACCAAGTGATGAATCTGAATGCTTCTCATATCCATATTTCTCCAACAGTCATGATTCAGAGTAGCATCTCCATATAGGCCAACAATCATCTGTTGCAACATTAAGAATATATTTACTGTTCTGCTAAAATCTCCTATTTTGCTGTGTGAAAAATACCTCCTTTCTTGTGCTATAGAATTTTATTTCATGGAATATTAAAATATGAAGAATTTAAAAATAAAACTTTATGCAGTGTTTGTGCTGACATCTTTAGTTGTGTTTGCCAATGTGAACACTTTATGACAACATTTAAAATCTAATTACAATTATATTGCTAGTAGCTGGAAACCTTTTGGTATCCTTTGTAAGTCCTAAAGATAAAATACTATTTTTTAGCAAATTATTTTGGTTTTCAAATGCTTGGAAAAATTACTAAGTAGGTTAAAACCAATAAAAATATTTTTATTTGCAAGTAGGCTAAAAGTGTAGTAGAAAATATTTGCAAATTATATCCATTTAGATAAAACCTTAAGGCATAATGATGTTCCTAACTTTTCATGGACATTTTCAAACAATTAACTAGTATAACTATGCCATAAAGGTGTCTACATTTTTCATCTTCAATTCGGGAGAGTAATTTGTTGGTATTGTGAAATACTTTTGGAACTTCTTTGATGAAATCTTGTGAATGGTTTAATATATCATAGACTCTACTTGGAATATATGACCTTTCATGAAATCTCTGGAATTTGGAGTCAATATTATCAGCAATAAAAATTTAGTCTCTCAAATTTACATGGCACTTCACAAACAGATATAAATGCATGTTTGCTCTCTTGAAAAGTTTAAAAGCTAATGTTTTATCCTTTACTGACAAAACTCTAACAGACCTTACTGAAATCTCCAGGTATGGAAAAATCTAGAGGCAGCTAGGAAAGATTAGCAAACAGATGAAACATTTCAAAGAGGTGTTATGTTTGAGAATGCTTATAAGAATAACAGCTGATGTGACAAAAGACACTTGGAGATAATTTCAGATAAAAATTCAAAGGAAGGTAGTCATGGATGTAAGATGAATCAACCTACATCAGCTGTGCTCAGAAGGCAGCATTAGTAGCTGAGACATTTATCAGGACACAGAAAGCAAAGATACTTATGTTGTTGAACGTTCAAAACCTAGGAAATAAAAATTCAACCTATATTTCCTCTGCAGATTTCTGTGAAGCTCTCACAATCATAGAAGTCTGCCAATATGGAGTTTCTTTCCCAGATCAATTCCAAGTTATGTGATTGCATGTACAGCAGCTAACACAAATACGATGAAAGTCAACAGGAGTATTTTATTTATTATAGATCAACAGGCTTGCTGGGTTTTCCTTTTGAGTTTTTAATACCATAATATGTACAACTGACTGGATAGTTACAAAAAACCTGTTCAACTTTTGCCTAAATATGACCTGCTATTGGAGAATTTTGCTTGATTCATCCAAGATACGATAAGCCCTTGCTGCCTATAGTGGCACATGTACTTAGGTAAATCAGGTTATATTAAACATAAACCTATTTCTTTCAGACAGGTTAAGCAAAATTCACCTGACTATAATCACAGTATCACAGTATGCTAGAGATTGGAAGGGACCTCAAAAGATCATCTAGTCCAATCCCCCTGCCGGAGCAGGAACACCTAGATAATGTTACACAGGAATGTGTCCAGGTGGGTTTTGAATGTCTCCAGGAAAGGAGACTCCACAACCTCCCTGGGCAGCCTGTTCCAGTGTTCCGTCACCCTCACTGAGAAGAAGTTTCTTCTCAAGTTTAAGTGGAACCTCTTGTGTTCCAGTTTGTACCCATTACCCCTTGTCCTACCATTGTTTGCCACTGAGTAGAGCCTGGCTCCATCCTCGTGACACTCCCCCTTTATATATTTATAGACACTTATAAGGTCACCCCTCAGTCTCCTCTTCTCCAAACTACAGAGACCCAGCTCCCTCAGTCTTTCCTCATAAGGGAGATGCTCCACTCCCTTAATCATCTTCGTTGCCCTGCGCTGGACTCTCTCCAGCAGCTCCCTGTCCTTCTTGAACTGAGGGGCCCAGAACTGGACACAATATTCCAGATGGGGTCTCACCAGGGCAGAGTAGAGGGGAAGGAGGACCTCTCTCGACCTACTAACCACCCCCCTTCTAATACACCCCAGGATGCCATTGGCCTTCTTGGCCACAAGGGCACAGTGTTGGCTCATGGTCATCCTGTCGTCCACTAGGACCCCCAGGTCCCTCTCCCCTACACTGCTCTCTAACAGGTCGTTTCCCAACCTATACTGGAACCTGGGGTTGTTCCTGCCCAGATGCAGGACTCTACACTTTCCCTTGTTATATTTCATCGTTATTCCCTGCCCAACTCTCCAGCCTGTCCAGGTCTCGCTGGATGGCAGCACAGCCTTCTGGCGTGTCAGCCACTCCTCCCAGCTTAGTGTCATCAGCAAACTTGCTGATAGTACACTCAATTCCCTCATCTAAATCGTTGATGAATATATTAAATAATACTGGTCCCAGTACTGACCCTTGAGGCACTCCACTAGTTACAGGCCTCCAACTAGACTCAGCCCCATAGACTACAACTCTCTGGCTTCTCTCCTTCAGCCAGTTCACAGTCCACCTCACTACCTGATCATCCAGACCACACTTCCTCAATTTAGCTGTGAGGATGCTGTGGGAGACTGTGTCAAATGCTTTGCTGAAGTCAAGGTAGACCACATCCACCGCTCTGCCATCATCCATCCACCGTGTTATTTCCTCATAAAAGGCTAAGAGATTGGTCAAACATGATTTCCCCTTGGTGAAGCCATGTTGACTGCCCCTCATAACCCTCTTATCCTTGATATGCCTTAAAATGGCACCAAGGACAAGGTGTTCCATCACTTTCCCAGGGATGGAGGTGAGGCTGACCGGTCTATAGTTACCTGGGTCCTCCTTCTTGCCCTTTCTGAAGACTGGAGTGACATTTGCTTTCCTCCAGTCCTCAGGCACCTCTCTCATTTCCCAAGACTTGGTAAAGATGATGGAGAGTGGTCTAGCAATGACTTCTGCCAGTTCCCTCAGCACCCGCAGGTGCATCCCATCTGGACCCATGGATTTATGGATGTCCAGATTGATCAACTGGTCTCTAACCCATTCCTCATCAACTAAGGCAAACCACTCCGTCGACCTGACTTCATCTGAGGTCTCAGGGGTACAGGGCTCTTCAGGACTGCCTGCAGCAGAGTAGACAGAGACAAAGAAGGCATTCAGTAACTCTGCCATCTCTGTATCTTCTGTCACCAGGGCACCCATCCCGTTCATCGTGGGCCTACATTGCCTCTGGTGTTAGTTTTATCTGCCATGTATTTGAAAAAGCTCTTTTTGCTGTCCTTGACCCTTCTCACCAGGTTTAATTCTAAGGAGGCCTTCGTCCTCCTAGCTGCCTTCCTACATCCTCTAGCAGCAGCCTTATATTCCTCCCAAGTGGCCAGCCCCTCCTTCCATGACCTGTAAACTCTCCTCTTCCACTTGAACATACCCAGCAATTCCCTATTTAGCCACACAGGTCTCCTGGCCCTCTTCCTTGACGTCCTACGTGTCGGGATGCTCTGATCTTGAGCTCGGAAAAAGCAATCCTTGAATGTCAACCAACTATCTTGGGCCCCTTTACCTTCAAGCAGCCTTGCCCATGGGATTTCCCCTAGCAATTGCTTGAAAAGGCCAAAGTTTGCCCTGCTAAAGTCCAGGGTTGCAATTCTACTTGGTATTCTACTGGTCCTACCACACAAGATCCTGAACTCCACCATCTTGTGGTCGCTGCAACCACGGCAGCCCTCAACCCTTACTGCTTCAACCAGACCCTCCTTGTTAGTGAGGATGAGATCCAGCAGCGCTCCTCTCCTGGTCAGCTCATCCACCATTTGCAGGAGGAAGTTATCATCCACACACTGGAGGAACCTCCTGGACTGTGGCTGGGTTGCCGAGTGGTCCCTCCAGCAAACATCAGGGAAGTTAAAATCCCCCACGACGACCACGGCCTGTGACTGTGAGGCCGCTCTCAGCTGCCTGTAGAAGGCCTCGTCAACTTCCTCACCCTGATCTGGTGGTCTGTAACAGACACCTACAACAGTATCGCCCCTGCCAGCCTGCCCCTTAATTCTCACCCACAGACTCTCAACTCGCTCGTCATCTGTCCCTGGACAGAACTCGGTGCACTGTAGTTGCTCCCGCACATAAAGAGCAACCCCACCACCCCTCCTGGCTGGCCTGGCTTTCCTGAAAAGGACATAGCCCTCCATGACTATATTCCAGTCATGTGAGCTGTCCCACCACGTCTCTGTAATTGCCACCAGATCATAGTCTCCTGACTTAACACAGGTTTCCAACTCCTCCTGCTTATTTCCCATGCTGCGCGCATTGGTGTACAGACATTCCAGGGAGCGAGCTGAGCACACCCATTTCACCCTAGGATTATAGGAGGCCTCCCAGTCTTCATCAGTTCTGGAGTGCTGCCCCACTGGGGCAAGCCCAGCTACAACCCCATCCCCCTTCGAATCTAGTTTAAAGCTCTCCAAATGAGCCCTGCTAATTCGTGCCCCAGCATCCTTTTGCCTCTGTGAGACAAACCTTTCACTTGTCATTGTCCAGACTGGTGCCCTATAAAACCAGCTGTTATCAAAGAATCCAAAGCCCTGCCTGTAGCATCAGTCTCGAAGCCAACTGTTTATGAACTGAATCTTCCCATTCCTTCCCACATCAGTGGAAGATGGAAGGAGTGCGGAGAAGATCACTTGAGCCCCAGACTCTTTCACCATCTGCCCCAAGGCCCTGTAGTCTTTCTTCATCCCCCTCAGACTGCGGGAAGCAGCTTCCTCCCCACCTGTCTGGAAGACCAGAAGCAGGTAGTAGTCTGTCAGGTGCACCAGGTTGGGGAGCGCCCTGGTGATATCCCTGATCCGGGCTCCAGGCAGACTACACACTTCCCTATGATGAGGGTCAACTCTGCATATCGAGCCCTCTGTTCCTCTAAGAAGGGAATCCCCTACTACAATGACTATAATATCTCAATCCAACTGGACCTTTTTGAATCGAGTTGTACATTGCCTGCAAATTCTGTTTATATATTTATATATCTTTAGGGGGTTTTAGACCCACTAAATGTAAGCTCAAAATCTTATATGCCCTAGTCTCCTTTCTTATGTTTTTTGTAAAACTCAGGTTTTAGGAGATTACGTGTAATACACTGTAACGTAGAAACTGTTTCCATCATCATGTGTGGGTATGTACTGTAGCCAAAGCCTAACATCAGGGCAAGATCTGGTGCACAGTAGTTTTCTTCTCATAGTTTGACTTTCACAAGAAGAAAAGCTGTATGTCTATCAGAGGGAGCTACAGTATGCTATGACAAGGGTCCCAGCATTGCCCAAACATTTCTTAGATAACATTGAATGCATGGAAATTTTAGTCTGCAGTTTGAAAATTCAATCCTTTGTTACTTAAGACCTTTAATAAGAGGTCTTAAGAGGCTGAGCAATGTTAGAAGGATAAAGCCTTCTGAGGTTTATGCTAATGAGATCTCTGTTAGGAAAAAAAATAATTAAGGTAAAGTCAAGGGAAAAGTGATAGAGACAGAGGGGGTATAAGCAAGAGGAGTCAAACTGACCTCATTTGTAAACAGATTTGTATTAGCTAGCTCTAGCTGTAGCATGACTTCAAAAACCTTTCCAAATGTCAGGCAGATCTTTAAGCAGAAGGTTTTTACAAGGCTACTGAGTGCATGCAGTATACTCACCGAATCCTTTTCCATCGTGACCAATTTCAATCGAATGTAGGTTGCCCAAGTGTTTTGTCTTAATCTTGAATGTATCAACCTTTAGTATGAAAACACACTTGTAAAAAAAAAATATACTGATGTCTGAAAACTTACACATTTGCTTAAGTCATTTCTGAGAGTAATTCAAATGTAATAATACTGATTCAAAATAGGTGGCTGACACCTCATGTAGTTTATTCTCCTTACTGACAACCTGTGGTATAGATCCCCTCCTATTAAGTCTTAGTTTAAACATGAACGATTAACTTTTCAACTTCTAGGATACTCCTTACCTCTTTCCTGACTTTCATCTATCAGGCAAATATTTTTGCTCTCTTATGAATTCTCAAATGATACAAACTTCTAAAATGTTTTCGGTATACGATACATAATTATACATTCAAGAATGTAAAAAATAAACGCTTTTACTACATGTACCATTTTAATTTAAAATATTACCTTGTTTCATATGGCAGGGTTTTTTTATATTAGACATTAGACATAGAAGATATTTGACATATAGACATATAAGACATTTGTCATCACTGGCTACCCATTGACTTACCTGGATTGCTAACAAGATTTCTACGCACCTACTTTTCTTTTTCAAAGAGCAATGACAACTCCTGTGTAGTACTAGGCAAAGGAAAATACTACTCAAGACACTTTCTTACTTGCCTATAAGTAACTAGGTTTATTAACCTCAGTATGGAAGACAGTAGATGGGTAAAGAACTTTTAAAAAATATTCACAGACATCCTGGATGAAAAATGCAAGTAAAAAGATGTCTAGTATTGCTGGAGATAATGAGGTAGATTGCATAAGGAAGATATTTTAGCTGGAGTTTTAATTATTCAGTCATTACCTTTCAAGAAGTCCATGGCAGAAATATATGGAAAATATGTTTATTTCTTGCTACATAAGGGTAACCATCATTATATTCCATGGAAAATGGAGGAATTCTTTTGCTAGATTAATATGTTTGTTAAAATAGAAAGTTCTGATAAGGTACTAGGACATCATGCAGAGAACTGTCATTCTCATGCAAATATCTGTACCTGAACTAGGGGTCTCTGAATAGTAGCCTAAAGCATGATGGATATCAGAATCAGGTTGATGTGCATGGTTCCACTTTATCTGGTTATAGGCTTACACACTCAGTGAGGCTCACAGCACCAGTTTCCATGGTAAAATAACATGATGGGGTGTAAGAGACTGATGTACTCTCAAGCACAATATTCAAAGTTTGTGCAACAGTGATGGATATTGCACATATGTGCACGTGCACAAGCAAGGCATGTTGTGCATTTCAGATCAAGAAAATGCATAACTTGGCAAATGAGCAGGTGTAATATGAAGATGCATTTGGGACAGAGACAGGAAAGCAACAGTTAGCTAGATATGGACACATCCTATAAAATGTATGGACTCACCTTTCCTCTTTCAAAGGGGTCTTGATGCTCCAGTGACTGAGAGAGTTGAAATACCTCAGATTTGTCCTCATTCCCAAACAAAATAATGTGCACGTTGGCATCAGTCCCTGCTCCCCTTTTGTCACCTGTGTATACTTTAATAGTATACTCTGTCAGATTTCTTCCTTGACTTCTGTCTTTATGTAAGTTATCTCTGTCATTCTTTTTTTTGTCTTCTTCAATAATAAAAGTTACTGGGATTTCTCTCTGTATTTCTGCCTTATTTTTACCCACAAAAAGAGCTCTGAAAAACAAAACCATGTTTTTGTGGTAAGGAAATCATATGTTAAATAAGATAAAAAAAAATCCTGTGAATTTATGTGGGACATTTAAAGATAGACTGATTTTAAAAATATCCATTGACTGAACCACTCTGTGACAGTTATTTTAATTCAATGCCTGCTTAGTGTTTTCAACTATTGTACTATAACTAAAAAATGACTAGCTTTACCAATATACTTACTCATTCACTTCAAATACATAGATAGGATGCTCCTTTGCAGCTTCTTTCAAATGCAATTTTTTGATGTCCAGTTTGCAGTCTACAAAGGAGGAAATAAAGTATAGTGAAAACGTTGTACTGTATGTCAAGGAATCAGGTAAAGTCTGTTGTTGATATACCTGGGTCATTCCTACTGTATGAAAGCATCATTTATTAATTCATTTATGAATACCAAGAATTAAATTAAAAATCCTGGAACCATCATAACATCCTTAATTCTTTTTCCTATTTGAAACCTCAACTTAGAAATTTAGGAGTTCTTTGTCTAGTGAAGCAGAGGAATATTGTCCTCACTGTTCTTGGACAGGCATGCAGGCAAGATTCAGCACCACTCAGGCAGACACAATTGAGGAGGAAAAGCAGAGGTAAATCTGTGGTGCTTCCTCCTCGGGGAGTGGTTGACCAAAGGGCTGGAGTTCCGTTCCATATGCAGCACAAAGAGGATCTCCTTAGGTGGCAGATATGAATGAAGTTTGGCGACTCGCTGTATACCTCTGCTGTTTGAAAAATATTGCTCTCTTACTTAAACTTCCTTTTGAATTTTCTGCTAGGGGCTGTGAGAGACTGATCTGAAATCAGACTCCACTGTCCATTGTCTCAAAGACTGGTCTGAGAAGCTGAGAGGGTATTCCACCTATCTTTTGTCTCAGGGATGGGTGGCAGGAGTTGAGATAAGACCCCTGTGTCCATTGCCTGCGAGAAGGGTGAGAACTAGGACTCCATCTGAGGGATGAGTGGGAAAGAGCTAAGACTCTTCTGCCCATTACCTTGAGGACTGGTGTGAGGAATTGCTACCCATTATCCCAAGAATTGCTGCAGACCTGAGAGAGAGAGAAAGAGAGAAAGGGAGAGAGAGAGAGAGACAGAGAGAGGAGAAGAGTGTGTGTGTATGTGCAGACACATGCAGTTGAAGAGCTGGCTGCAAGACCAGGGAAACTGGTCCACCAGGAACATGTAATACATGACATGAAGAACAGAAGTACTCCCCCCAAGTCATTATAAAAGGGGAGAAGGTAATCACCAAGAGGCACATCGACAGGGAGCCATGAGGATGACTCCAGAAGGACACCTCCGTGAGGACACTCTCCACCAATGACTACTGCAGACCCTGAGGGACACCCTCCATGAGATATCACCATGAGGGCAACTCCATCAGGACACCTCCATGGGGTACCTTCAAGGGTATGACTCCAGAAGGACACCTCCATGAGGACACCCACCTCCAATGACTACTATGGACTCTTGGGGGACACTCTGCTCCGATACCAACTACAAACCCTGAAGGACTCCCATCACCAACGACGATGACAACCGATCCCTGGGACACCTCTGGATCCACGGTGGTGACTCTCCCTCTCTCTCAATCTGCACCTCTAATCCTTGCTTCATTTCCTTTTTTCCAATCTGTCCTATTGCTATCCCCTTTATTACAATAATTTCTCTTTTTTATAATAACTGTCTCTTTGTAACAAACTTACTAACCGATTACGGTACTTGACCTTGTTTCTGTCTTAATTTCCCTCTTGGGATCATGACCTGAAACAGGGTCTGGCACTGGGGTTTTCCCCAGTTGGACCCTGACAGGGGCTTATAGGCATGTGGTCTATATAGACATGCTGTCAATAACACTGGCCTCAATCTCTTACCACTAGTTAGTCATGAAGACTATTAATTTTCCATTCTCTTCTATTATTTTTCCCTTCAGTCCTTTTCAGCAAACTACATCCTAATATCTTTTACCTACTATCCAAGTTCCTTTGATTCTGCCAAGAGGAGTCTAACTTAATGGGCTCAGGCTACTCAGGAGAAATCCAAGAATACTGTGTTGCACTCAAGACCTGCCTGGACAGTGCACAGAGAAAGACAGAAACTTCAGGAAGGGATCTTGAATCACTTCATCTTAAAAACCTGCTCAGATACTGGAAGAACCATAAATGCATTAGAGCAACACTCTACCCGATGTGACCAGTCCCGCAGTGTGTACATCACCTTATATGCTAAACAGCTTTTGTGTTTGGGGTTTTTTGGTTCAAAATCTTGTTCCAAGCTAGTCTTAGTCCAAATAAGTCTAGACACAATATGGACACCCTTACTGATCTAAAGTATTTTCTCATCTAACTCCTTTGGAAGAAGTGTATTATACATCTGCCCAATACTTTCTTCATTACACACAGAGCCAATCAACCCCAAAGTCCCTCCTTTGTCAATCTTACTTTCAAACCTGACTGGAAAACCCTTGCCTGTCACACTGTCTGTGGTGCCCTTTAGCAATTGCCATGTTCAGTGACTGTGTCAGGCACATGGCCATAGTTAACTTTCACAACTGAAACTGTGAGAAATAAAAGTAGTGAGCTATATGCCTTGTTCTCTAATGGCACCATGTGTTAATTTACAGTTCATTATCTGAATATTCCTTAGTAGCCATCCTAAAGGTGAGGCAAAGAGATCATAAAATCATAGAATCATAGAATTTTAATGAAATTCAGTGACAAAACTTCTGATTGCGTAATAAAGTTAAAATCCCCCTCCGAATGTCACATGGAGGAAACAGAACGGGCAAGGAAAACAATGAAAATAAATGAATGACAGAAGGAAAATTAAACAATATCATTTTCTTATGTGAGTTTTAATTATTCTCCTGGTTCATTTATTTAATAAATCAGATATTAATTGCAGAATATAATTATTCATCTTAATTGTCTGTTTTTCTTTCTTCTATGGAAAGGAATAGTTTACTTTCTTGATGGAATAATGATACAGCCTTTAGATCCAAGGATTTTAACATGTCAAAATATAGGAGTTTGCTTTACAAAATATTAAGTTTTAGCAAAAAGAGTCAAAGGAAATTAATCAGGATTTAACTCTGGCAATAATTTCATTGCTTTTAATGGGAGGCTAGCTTTATGATTCACATAATTGACTTTAGAGAGCAGCAAAAGTACTTTACCTGTTTTACTGCTGAACACAAGAACAACTTTATCCAGTTCTCCTAACTCCACAGCATCCACGGTAACTAGAAATGACTAAAATAAAATTATTTAGTATTACAATCTTAAACTATATTACTGAAGTGTATAGGAAGATTTGAAAACAATACATAGGAATTACAAGAATAGATTAAAGAATAAATTTTAAAGTACTTTAAGACAGAGTACCTCTTTGTCCTCTTCCTGCTGGACATTCTGCAACGACCAGAGAAGGGATCTGTCCCCAGTGTCACCATGAGTACCATATATACATGCAGTCATATGTAACAAATTTCTCTCACTCAAAATATTTCTAGAAAATACTGTGAGATGATATGTAACCACTGAAATACCAAGCAGAAAGAGATATTATCAAGGCTGTGCCACAACCTTGCACAGATATTTGACAACATAGCAATGTGCAGTCACATGTAATTGAAAATTCAAATTCTCAAAAATGATAGTAAATTTTTTTTTCTATTTTTTCCATAATTTTGTCTTGTATCTATAAATATTGGTAATACTGAAAACTTTACATTTAGCTAGAGAAAAGAATGCCTATGCCTGAAGTTGTTCGTAATAGCACATTATGGAAAAAGTACGAGTCTGTTGCCTTTTACTATTTATGTTGAACACCTAATACATAAAATCCTAATAGGTCTCAGACAATCAATTACTTTGGGGATCTTTACAAAGAGTAACTTTGGTTGGGAAGACAAGTCCTTCAGATTTCATCATCTAAGAGATGGAGAGAGAAGCTCGTAGCATGGAATTTGGAGCTACTGCTACTGCTTTGAACTTCAATATGATGGAGCACAACTGCTGACTATTAGAGGTTGCTTGGGAAGAAAGGTCTATCTCAGCTGAAGCCACCCATAAATTTCTGTTGTTTGTGATTTATATATAGTGCTTATAGCTATTTAATTGAAGACAAGATGACAACATCTGTACACCTTTGAAAGTACACAGGGCAGCTGTTTATATTCATTTGCATTTTACTTACGGAAACAAATGATGTGACAGTCCTGAATATTTACCTCTTTTAATCACCTAATCATCTCCTTTTTATTCCTGGAGATGCCATGGTGGAAGGGCGTGAGCCCTGACCTTGCAAAAGGCTTCTATAGAATGAAGCTCTTCTCAGAGCTTAGATCAGTGAGTCAGCTGTCCCATACAGGACTGTGGGCATAAACTGATTACTTGCATCCTTTGGAAGTCAAAAAGACAAAGTCCAGGTAAAGCAGATAACAAGCTGTTATCAGCTTTCAAATCTAATGACCATCTAAAATACTGAGTTCAGTAAAAGAACCACCTCTGTTCTATGGTCTTTGCCTGCTGCAGTTGAGCAGGTGCATGGAAAGAAATTCATAGTGCAAAAAAAGGTATTTAGTTTTACCTATAAAGGTTAAACTTAGTAAAAGCCGAAGTAGTAGGGGATACAGCTAAGTTTAAAAAGGAAGTAAAAAAACTGATGCTGCGTAAAGAGCAGCAAATCATGGCTTCGTAAGATACAAAAGTTTAAATACAAGGACTGTATGGAATATGGTGGGTGGTGGTATAATGAAGATGAAGAATCAGGAAAGGAAACTGTGCATTTGGTAAGGGGTGCTATGCAGCAAGTGGGTCACTACACAGAACAAAGAAACCTGTGCAGTGTTATTTTTTGCTATAATTCTGATTTTCTGAACATTTTATTTTACTTGACCTCTGTTTTGACAGTCTCCCAGATCTGAAACTTGGGAAGTGAAGCTGGACCAACCTAAAACAAGTGAAAGGATTGCATTTGGAAGTCTTGTTTGTTGGATCCCTGTGTCAGAGAGCAGCAAGAGTGGGCCTGTCCCATGAATGTGGACAAGACAGGAGCTGAGCAGGACCTCAGTGCAAGCAGTTCTTTCACTGACTGGGCAGCAGTCCTGTGGTATCTGCGTGTGTAAGGCTGAGCTGTTAACAGTCCCATATGCAGCAAACAGTGAACAGTCCCATATGCAGCAAACAGTGAACAGTCCCATATGCAGCAAACAGTGAAAAAGATCTGGGAATCATCCTAGTGACAGAGATGGGAACAGCAGGAGAAAGGACCAGACACAAGACTGAAAGTAAGGCTACAACGCAGTTCCAAGGTTTATCCAGAAGACAACATCAGAGGGAGGACTAAGGACAAATGCACGTCTGGTGTAGTTCAGGCATGATCTGAAAATGACACTCTGTGCCCATTATGGCTGGAGGTTCCAGGTGAGTCTGGCCAAGGCAAGTAAGATCTATTGTCTTATTGTGGCCTTAACATGCTGAATTAAATGAATTTTGGATCAGATTATACAGTGGATAGAAGAGGCAGAGTACCTTGTACACAGAAGGGCAATTGGAGGAGACTAAAGGCTAAAATGTTCAAATGGTAGTCTTTTTCAGGGGATCACACCATAACAGTGCAAATGTGGGCAAGTAACCTTTTATCTCTGTAGTGTATTGAATAGATTGGAAAGATAAAAGATGAAAGAAATCTCTGAACAGAAGTTTACATATAATGATAACATATATGAATGTTGCATCTCCATTAATTTTATAAAATTCTAATGATTTCATAATCTCAGTGGGAATTATGGCTTTGTGTTAACTTTGTGGAAATAGCTATTTGAAAGTAGCATAATACATCTTTTTTTCACCTTTTTGTTATTTAATTGTTTTGCCTTAAAAGCTATAGTACTGCAAAATTCACCTTCTGTACAGACGTGTATGAGAGGGAAAGAGAACACTGTTTCATCCTGGGGGATCCTTGAGATGTAAGCATCTCAAAGGAAGGTATAGTGAAGAGGAACTATTTATTTATGTAGTCAGCTGGAGGCCTCTCTCCATTAATATACCCAAAGGCACAGGAGTGCATAGCCAGATCTAAGGGTCTGCACAGTACTTTATCAACTGTTTTGGTGGTTTCAATTAGCTATTAGTATATGCTTCATCAATATCCCAAATACAAAATAAGGAAAAGATAACTAAGAGGTGAAATACTAAGGCAGTCTATGAGTGACAGAGCTGTATCTGAAATTGAACAGCACATGGCTTCTGGTTAAGGTGATTACAATCAGCCACTTTCCATTCCAATTAACACAAGATTGGGTTTGCTTTTAGCTGAGAAAAAGAAAACCAAGAAAAAAATAGATTAGATTTAGAGAGCTGACAGAAAAGCAGATCTGTTTTGCACCATAAATTTCAAGTCAGTGTGTAAAGGATCCCTTTGAGCTCCATGTATGCCACCTGCTGTGGAGCTGCTTAGAGCTTTCTTGGACATAAAATGGCAAAGATTTGGGAGAATATGTTTTTTCACTGTCCTATTGAACACTTCTAAAGCATGTGTGGGAAGAAATAAGTGCAACAGATAAGCTATTTTGTTTGGTTGGCTTTTCTTTTATCTAAACACATAGGTAATATAGTACCTATTCCTTTTTTTGAGATTTGCTTAATCTCTTGATCTCAAGCATTTTACAAAGAATTAAATATTAAAAAAGAAAAAAAAAAAAAGGAGATTTATTTTTTAACCTAGAGGTCGGTGATAGAGCCAGAGTCCGAACCAAGATCATGAGGGTTCCAGTCTCACTGGCCATTTATCACCCACACTGCATCTCTCTCTCACCATTTCAGTGTGCTAGTAATGTATCCTCAATATTTCTGCATGTGACAGCAATAAGGCTTTTGCAAAGGGCATATTTATGTGCTTTATGGTAATCTGAAGGTCCTCTTTGTTTCAATCTTGTGTATGATGGAAGCCATTAAGCCCTGTTCTGTGCCTGTACTGTACAAGTCTTCAAGTGAAAATAACAGCTCTAAGCAATATAAAATCTAAACCCTAAATAGAAAATTTAAGTTTTCAGTTGCAGGCAATTTATGAAAAAAAAAAACAACAAAACAAACAAACAAAAAAACCACAAACAACCCCAAAGCGCTTTTAATTCTACTGAAATTATTTTCATGCTTACATTTAGACACATGCAAACACCTCACTGAAACAGAGCCATAAATTCCAGTCCAAAAGCATATTGGGGTTAGTCATTTAACACCTTCTTCGTCACTCTTTGGATGAACTGACTTATTCTTTACTCAGGAAACTCATTTGTTTTCTGCTTAAAACTCAGGCACAAATAATTTGAATATTAAATATCATTACTTAGTCTGTTTATTAAATTGAGGACTGTTCTGTCATATGGTGGCATTCAGTAAACATTAGAAGAATATGGAAGATATAGTGGATTTTAGCTGAAAGAGTTTCTTTTATTTTGCTTAACAAAGGTGAAGTTCATAAGGAAATTGAGCTAATTTTAACAGGCATAAATATTTGTAGTGGATAAAGGTAATAAAGCTGATGCTTATATGTAGCTTTGATCTGTTATTTACTGAAAATCTTTGGAATGTGCAAACAAAAAAAGTCATTTAATAGTGAATGAGCTATAAAAAATCATATTGTCAATGTGAGTAATATAAGCAGCTGAGAACTAAATAAAGGAGACCAGAAATATTAAAATATTGCAAGAAAGGTATGTTTCTTACAAACTGTTCTCTGGAGCATATAATAATAGTTCTGTGCAATCAAATGAATATTTCATTTCCCACTTTATGGTACAAAAATTAAGCTGAGTGGGTAGTATTTTCCTTCATACATTTTAAATTCTTATCCAGACTTTATGAATCATTAAAAAAAGACAATAATTTTTTTTGTTTTGATAAAGATTTCAATTGTCATATTAGGACGTGTTAACCTCCTGGATCACGCTACCACTTTAAAGTAGATTTATACCTACCAGAAAGTGCTTCTCTTAATGGCCACTCTACAGGGAATTCAATCCATCTGTCTCCATTAAAAGAAAGAGGAAGTGTTTTATTTATGGTGAGACGAAAGGTATCTAGGGTTGATGTGTTCTGCATTTTAAAGTAACAAGGATACAACTGGGATATGCTGTTTTCCAAACTCTGGAGACCAAATCTCACTTTATAAAGCGTTCCCAAATCAGATGGTAAGTGTATCTAGGAAGCAATGAAACAAGGAGTTAATATCTCAACAGAGATATATAGGTATACGCATAGCTAATTTAGGAAGAGAGGAACTTTTCTCTAAAGGCATCAGCATGGACCTAGCCCTATTTGCATCAGCCTTGGTGCTAAAAGTCCCGCTGAGTTCAAAGGCAGCAGAACCAGGTTGAATGTAAGCACTTATGGAACTATTAGCTTTGTACTCTAGGGCCATTCATTGTAATTATTCTATCAAATTCAAATTACATACTGCACTGATTTCTAAATGTGCACACTTACTGTTAATGCCATTTAAATTGATATGCATTATTAACTATGACTATTTGTTGTCAAAAAAAAATTATAGAATACCCTTGATCATCATGAACTTGAGAAAGCCAAAAATTAAAAATAAAATCTAGTTTGCAACTGAATATTTCAGTTCTGCTTTTCTTGAATATTTGAACAATAATATCTGCAATATTTACAGCACTACATGATTATTTCTCTCTAAAAATAAACTCAAAATTTAAATATAGACAAATGTATAGATTATTTTACATCATATGTTATTTGGTTTTTAGCCCGATGTTCCACTTTTTTTTCCATGGAAACTAGATTCGACTTGCCGTTGCTTCCATAAAAAACCATAACCAACTTGGATAAAATTTCTGACAACTTTTCAAAGTCTGTATATTTTTCTTCTTGATATTTTGTGAAATAAATCCTCCATCTGCCTTCTGAACAAACAAAATAAGGAAAACAAAAAGAAAAAAATAGATTAAAGATGTTCTGTTCTCAGATATTAACTAGAGTACCTGAGATAAAATTCCCAAGACATGTCTCAGCCTACATGGGGAGCATTAATATTATAAGCACTTCATCTGGGTGCTGATCAGCTCCCTGTGTATATTTCCATTTCTTACTATTACAAAGGGGGAAATATTGTCAGTACTAGTAAGTGTAATGATGTATTGTGGTGAAAATATTCTCACATTATTATTTCAGAACTAATGAATAAAACAGTCAATGTAATGGCAGAAGAGATACCTGAATTCATTTGCTCTTTTCCTAAAGGCCAGGCAGAAGTGCTTTTTCTCTCCTGAGTTTCTAATTAAAAAAAAAGATTGAAGACCAAATTAATACTTTTGTAGAACAGTGTCTAAATGGTAATAAATGCCTGTATTCATCTCTACTGAGGCAATTGACTATTATATCATTTAGATTAAAGATTTAACTAGGAAGTATACAATGTGATTTTCTACTTAAGCATCATCTCCTACATATCATCCTATTTAATGAACTGACTCTAGAGCTAGCTTTTTACTATAAAATCACTGTGACGTGAAGATTCAAGTATTTTTCATTTTAAATAATTTCTGTTTCATGTAAACAACTTACGCTCTGGATATATCAGACATAATTAGATGTATTTAATGCCCATTTTAGCAGCTGATGTTCCTCCCACTGCTAGCAGCTCCCACTGATTTCAGCGGGATTTGTTATAGACCAAAACTACTTATAATAATTTGATAGAGGCCTGAACTAGAGATGAAAATCCTTATTTTGAGAGCACAACCAAGTCTGGATTTGTCAATTATTGTATTATAAACCTCACTTTCTTCTTTTACCAAATCAGTGCATTCTAGTAGAAACAGAAACATACACATATACATACAACCTTAAACACACTAAATATTCCTATATTTTATTCAGAAAAGCCCCAACTTACAATCTAAAAGAAAGATGAAATTATTTGCTTTTCCACCATAATAGCTTCCTCTTTTTCTCTCCAGATTTCAAAAGATCAAAAGTTAGGGATGATAGAGCAGAGGAAATGGATTGCACTGTGGCTCTACTCATTCTCAATAGGCTATTGCTGGACAAGCACCATCATGCAAACTAAACTACAACAAGGAGAGATGCCCTCATAGGAGGAAAAAGAGCTAAAATATTTTCTGTAATTTAAGGGCTCATATACAGTCTCTATTTACACCTCTCAGGGGCAGGATCATAAGAAATACATCAGCCTTAAATGTGCATTCTGGGCTTCGGCTACCCACTGATTCGGTTGGGGTGTGCTGTGCGCACCAAATTGTGCTTGTATTGAAACCACAGCAGAGTGGGGTAGGGTACACATTCCCTTCTTGTCTTGACAAAGATTGCAGTCAGTCATAAGCAGTGAGGTCAGGTCAAAACTGCTCCTCTGTGGACTGATTGCTCACATGGTGCCCATTAAAAGTGTGTCCAGATTCTGGCAAAAGCTATCCGAACAGCATGGCACAAATAATGTAAAACAGTCTTCTGAATACAATGGAGGCATTTTCTCTACTGTGTAAAGACAGTTTGCCCCCACTATTTACCTTATTTTCACTATGCCTAGCAAGTAGCCAGAAGAGGTATTTGAAGCTTAAAAAATTGTTTGTGTAAATGGCAAAGTAGAAGACTCAGGCATTAGTTTGTAAAAAGAACATAAAAAATTATTTTCCATTTATGCCACTGTAAATCTGGAGTAACAAAGCAGAAGTTATCTTCTGGCAAATAGTAGTTATTAAATGGTACTAAAACCCAACAGTGTTCAGATGCACTAATTGACAATGTTCTACTGAAACATTTTAAACCATAACTTGTTTATAGAAGCAAATCACATAACTGCATTCTGCAGCTTTGAATTAATTTCTTAGCAAATGGTAGTTTGAAGATAATATCGACCTGTGGCATTCAGAGTTACTGAGGCAAATCTTTTTCCATCACGTCTGTCTTTTAGCCATGTTTGAGCCATAAACAATGTTTCTGTCCCTGAAGCTGCTGACTCTTTCACAATAATCTTCTCCAGAAGCCAGTCAGTGCCTTTCCCTTTTTCGACCACTACTTCCTTCAGAGTCCCAACATCTACTGCTTCTATTTGAAAAACATCCACCTGAAAAATTGAGATTCAAAACCATATATGGAATCAGAACCACCAAATTTAATTAACTGCATATATTAAAATGTGAAAGAGGGAGGAAAATACAAATAACTTTTTTCATTAATAAATACCAACAGAATCAGAGATTACAAGTTTAAAGATGCTAAACACCTGCATTAAGCAGTATTCCCTTTGTAGTTCTGCAATTTGCTGCTAAACCACCTGTTTCCCTACAAAGATCAACCAGTTGCTTCTGCTCAATTCCTGAAGGGATTCTCCTTCCCAAATTTCACACTTAATGGTTTACAGGGGTACCATTCTAAACACCTCTTACTCTCAACAAAATAGATTCCCCCAAGGCTCCTGTTTGAGGGATGAAATGCAGGGAGTGATAAAGACGGAAGTAAACATCACAGAGCAGTATTTTATTCTCTTAGAAAAGAATGACAAATTTGGTCCCAGATTTGAATTAACTTGTAGGATTAATTTTAATAAATGCAATTGAAATTGCAGAAAGATAGCAAAGGTATGTTTAAATAAGTTTTACTATATCAGTTAAAAAGTCCACTGTAGTTTTAAAATATTTAGAACCTGAAATGCCTAAAGAAAATGGTGAGATGTCAGACATGAAACATTTTCACAATATGTGATTTTAGCTTTTTGTGGGTCCTACACCTACTTACTCAGCTGGAAAACAGAGATTAATTTCTTGGCCTAGAGACCTTCCACCTGTTTTGCTTTATAGATTTATGAATTATCATTTCCTTTCTGTTAGGGTTGATGACTGGTAAAATCTAGGTTATTTGTGATTGAATTTCTAGCATGATTTAAAGATACAAAGATATTTTTGAGGGGATTGGATTGCAATAACAAGCAAACCCACTTGAGTCCTGGGAAGTCCTCCCAACATAATTCACACTGAAGCTGCTCAGCCAGAGTAAAAGGGCAGTAATCCTTATACAAAGGATTATGCAGAGATGAAACAGAGAAAAGCAATTCTCTTGCTCCACCAGCCACAGTTATGCGTTTTCCCTGGACAGTTTTTCCTGGTGAATAATTGATAAAAGACTTTTGTCACCAAGACCAGCTTGACCAGTTTGCAACATAATAAGATCCACCATAAGTTAAAATATTGAGCTCGAAATTGCAGATAATATTTGACCACCCATTTAAAAAAGAATCCCCAGAAATATAAAAAAAAAACCAACTTTTTTCTTTAACTTTTTTCTTATTTTTCATTAATATATGTACATGTTAATGTGAATGTGTGCGCTTGTGAACTACACTTTTAACAGTTTACTAAAAATAATCACCAACCTGTCACTGAATTACTGCATGGCTTCTTCTAGACTGAAAGGTAGTGTTATTCAAAAACTGCTACAGTGTATTACCTAACCATCACAACTGGACTGTCACCCCTGAGTTGTCATGTGAAATGGGAAAATGAGAACAGCAAACTGACAATGATTTCAAGTAAAAAATGTTAAAGAGGCACAGGAATAACTATACTTCCTTAAAATGAATCGCGTTTATCAGCTGCTTAGTGAATTTAGACTGGCAAAAGTGTAAGATGAAAGTGAAGGTCCTCAGTATAGTGTCCTGTGACAGCAGGGGAAATACATTGGGCTGAAATTCCAGATGGAGCACAGGACTGCAGGGGAAGAGGCTTCTCTTCACATTTTCCAAAGTTAAGTCAAACCAGTAATGTTCAGTGTCAACACCACATTTATATTTTATTGCCTATTGGACAAATTTGATGATTGAATACCATTAATCTGAACTCTTAATTCACCTTAACTGTGCCAAAGTTTGATCACTGCTTTGTTCTATTTTTATTTGGATTGGTACAGTTATAACATCATGCTTGATTAAAAAAAAATGTCTTGTTAAATAAAATGTATTAAAAATACACAGGCCTAGAAGATGGGTGAAAACCATAGATAAATTCAAGTAAGATACTTACAGACTCCTGTCTCTGTCAGTTAATAAATATCTTATATTCCCAAAATGTGAAAATTTGCCTTAAAAGATTACTGCTTGTCCTTGCAAAAGGTTATGCTTATGTTAATGCACAATTTCTTTTATTGGAAAAATATGAGGAAGTGTTTGTCAGATTAGAGTACTTGTTGGAATAGATTTCTTTTTAAGAGAAAAGAGTTTTCCAGATGATGACTTGATTTAGTGACATTATCATCACTGTCTCCAAAAAAATCTGTTGTCAGTAATCCACTTTTGGAAAGGAGAGAGTGAGGAATAAAGGAAAAATACAGACAATATTCTGCAGACTTTTAGGCTCATGCTGTCTCCAGAAAAAGGAGAGCTGGGTTTGACTTTCACTAGGCTTGACAGTTAATAAACTCTATTAAGCCAGAAAAACTTCACACAACATCAGCAAAAGTATTTGTTCACTTTCTCCCTAGTGGTAGTGATTCTGAAAGTATTTAGCAACTCAGATGCAGCATGTACTATAAGTTATTCAGAATCTGGATAATCCAGCCACAGGTAACAGCAAGTGTGTATAGATATACCTATATAGGTATATATATACCTATATATATACACACCTATATATATATATATATAGGTAATGTATGACAGGCTTTACAAATCCTTTTTCCTCTGAAAATACTTATATTTTGGCTGAATAAATATTTGTGAAAACTTTGATGTTTGATTTGCATTAGACACACTACTTTATCATTTGTCGATGTGCAGTTTTAACGATCCTGTTTTGGAGACGTAACGTCTCAGAAAACCATGGTCAAATTTGCAGATGATTCAGCCATCTAAGAAACTGCAAGTTGAAAAACTATTAACTAAAGTAGGAATGGTGACAACAGGGATAAACTCACTTCACAGACAAGATTACATTTTCTTTTTATGTGTACATTTGAAAATCTACATCCTGTAATTCTAGTCAAGAAACCAAAAAAAGAACAGAGAAAGAACAGCTACTATAATTGCTACAGCAAGATGAACAGTTTGCTATAGATAATTTATTTGCCAAATTTAATCCACTTTCCTCCTCACAAGCTATCTGAAAACAGACATATTATGACATGTATTTCATTACAATTTTAAGAAATTGGATTATTATTAATAATTTAGCTAATATTTTTGTGGATTAATTTCAGACCACAGATTAGTCATAAAACATAGGAAATGTTGAAGTTGTTGAGTGGTCTTGTATGCTACATGATACTCCATCTCTCACCTGATTCACAAACAGGGAGCTTTAAAGCTAGGGGAGGCTTAGTTCCTCTGCAAGAAGAGTCAGAGAAGGAGGAACCACACAGAAGATAGTTAAACCTACAGAGTATAAAACCCTTTCATTTTCCCTTAGGGAACAATGTTAATTGGTTTTTAGTTACTACTAGCAAATTAGGTTTGGATGGAGAAAAGTCACCTTAAATATTTATAATAATTCATACTTTTTAATTCAGCATAATTTATATTGAATTTTCTCAGAATAATATTAAAACAATTTATGTGTATGTACAGCCCACTAAATTTTATTAATTAACACTGTCTGGAGAGAGAAAGATATTTTCCAAGACTAAGCAGCTGAGATGGACAATGTGAGAGCCATACTTACTCTGTGACCCGGAAGAGCTGCCTTAGCAAAACCAGAGCTGACACTTTTCATATTTCTTGGATAAGAGAATAAGCACAGAAAAATTCCTTAAAACCAATCATTCCAGCAACCCTTCCAGACTATTACAAGTTTAATTTTTGATAACTCCTTTTCAGATTCTCTTCAAAGTTGTATTTTTTTTTTTTATCCTGGGACCCATCTTTTCAGCATTTCCTTTAAATCTATGATGAAGTTTGACTTAATATTCAGTACGCTTCAGTGTCAGTGCTGGCAACATATCACTGCCTGCAGCAGTTGCAATAGCTCTTGTAACAAAAGCAGCATTTGAACAGTCATTGTGCAATATTTACCTTTATAAATGCCAATCATTTTATAGGCTTCGTATTTAGGGTTGATGATTGGTTAATGATGATATTCCCAACTGAACAGAAAATGGCAAGTCAAGACACACCATATGCTTCATTTCATCAACCTGTATGCACAAGTGATTTCCCACACTGCTAATGTTACTATCATTTTAATAGGCTTTTATTGAAAAGGAGTTAGAGTGTCTAGGTAAAGGACCTTTGCTATTAAACTTAGCAAACTTATTGATTTGCTGCCTGATTATTTTGATCTCACTTCTTAATCTGGAGAAATTCCACTGAAAACAAGAGTTTTAGCACTGGGAGGCAAAATAAAGGCCATAGTAACACTGAGACCAAATCAAAAACAGTGTCTGAACACTCCTGTAGAAGCAAGCAAATGATATTTGCTTCAGACTGTGGCTATTTCAGCTGTGTTGAACTCATCCACCCTGTCCCAAACGCTTGTCACATCCCCTTCTCTCAGATAGAGATATTCACCTTTTTAGCTGTGCCAGCATAACCACATGATCAGCTTCCCTCCAGCTAAATTTTGTCAAGATAGATGAAGTGAAAAAGCCTAAATTATTAACAGTATTAATTGCTTAAACTAAATAAACATTTGGACAGAGTAAATGAATGTCACTGTCCCAGCACGCTGAAGGAATGGAAACACCGGGTGGCAAGCAGCAGTGGTGAGAGGCACTAATAGCACACTACTGTCTTAGCCCCGCTCAGTTGATGGAGGAACAGTGCATCTGACTGTGACTTCAGCACCATGTAGTCTGTGTTCTGTCCAAATGTTTCTTTAAAAATAGGTTTTCCAATGCATTTGAAAAAGCCAAACCCAAATTCCTCCTAAATTTACATCTTTTCTGAAATAGATTTTTGTTTTATGTTAAATTCTCATCCAGAAATTAATTGAAAAAAATTATCTTTATGTTTTTAAAAAATTAATTTAAATTACAACGAATGCATAATTAGAAGTTTCTGATACCCTGTAATTACCGTGGTTCATCCATCTTCAACAAGATTATTGAAGAATAAATGATAGAATAGGGACACTAAAAAAG